CTTTCTATAGAAACCAGTGACTTCGATAGCAATCACTGACTTTCCTTAGTTCCATAGCAACGAGTGTTTTCAATAGCAATGCAATTACTTTCAATAATAACTGTAAGAATCGTTTATTACCGATTCTAATTAAAATATATTTCTTACGTTAAACGTTGTTTGGCGCCAAATTATTTACGTTACGCGGTGAACAGTTTTGCGCGTCATTTTGACGTAATTGTTTGTAATGAATTTAAAAGGTAACTTCCGTTATATGTAGCGGCGTTAAACGTTAAAGCTGAAACTGTATTTTAAAGGTTTCGATGTGAAAGACATTATAGTCGGTATGATAGCTGCATAAATTATTTTGATTTATTTATTTGTTAACGGATAAAAAGAATTTTCTAATGAAGTATTTATTAATTTTATTCTATTGTTACGATTATTTATTTTATGGATTTTTACTGTACTTCTGTTTATTAAGATTCTTCGTCATAGGAAATAATTATTTAATTATTCTATTCTATTATTTATTTGTTAAGTTTATATCAGAAATGAATGTATTAGTTAATTACTTTATCATTTGTTTCAAAGAATCGCTTTGTTTTATGCTGATGTGTGAAAATAAAAGATATATATATAGAAGCGCATACTCGAAAAGTCTAGTTGTTATCCGAAATCCTTTACAATAACCATTTACTTTTCATAGCGAACAGTGACTTTTCTTAGCGAACAGTGACATCCATAGTAACCATTTACTTTTCATGGCAACCATTGACTTTTAATAGCAGCCAGTGTATATTTCAGTCAGGTGGGTGATAAAAGGGCCATCATGACCCTTTTATTCCACTAAGATTGATAGCCATGGTTAACCTTTTTATTAAGATCTATTTTCTCAGTAACTATCAAAGCTTGATGTCCATGTTTACTATCAAAACATGGCACTATTTCAGAAGACCAGATAATCCTAAAAATCATTTTTGCAAAGTTATGCCTCTTTTTATTTCTTATGTCAATACCTCAAAAACTGTCCAAGTTAATTACTTCAAACTTGAAATACTTTTCCAGTTTTTAAATAGGAATGCATTTCTAAAGAGTAGGTAAGTTTTAATTTATTTGTCAGAGTTATGCACCCTTTTGCCTTTTGATTTCTTGATTAACTTTTCTTTGGTTGAGGTACATTTCTAAAAAAAATATTTACTTTAAACTTTGAATATTTGTTCATTGTCAAATTAAAATTGCATATGTAGGTTGGTCGGTAATTTTGATAGCCCTTTTTCAATAATCATTTCTCTTGTTTGATTTAAAATATCTCTGTAAGGTATGTATTCATTTCAAACTTAAATTATTTGTTAACAATCAAGTGTAGATTAATCTGATAGGCATGTTTGCTGAGAGTTTCCCCCTTTTCTTGTTGGTTTTATTTTATTATCCAGCACAGAGAGTAGAGATGTGTACTGTCCCCATACAATTGTCTTCCTTAATATCCTTGTCGGTTTCAATGATCACCAGTCCGAGCTTTGCTCTTGTTCCCTCAACTGATTATTTTTTTGTGCTCCTTGGCTCCTTGCCGCGGGTCCTATGTTCCTGGGTTGTGTTTAGTATGTCTTTATTTATTATGAATGCCATCATGTTTATTGATCTTTGCTTTCATAGTAATATGTTTTGGTTAAACACTGCTTTTCAATAGTATTACAGTTTTACTGTGGTGGGGAGTTTATCACAGTGTTTAATAACTTTGTTCACAATTAAATGTCAACTTCTCCATGTGAATCAATGATAAAGTACAACTTTTTCATATGCAAAGCGTTTCGTCTTGTTATTCAAGTTAAATAACTCGTTATATATAGACAAACACACTTGCAAAGCTTGGCAGTTTGACTTAGCTACTTATAAGCGTCGAATTTCGAATTTTAAATAAGGGTAATAAATTTAATATAACAGAGTATAACCAAAGTTAATTATATATATATTAACTAAAATTGTAAATGGCTCTTTAATCATAAATTAGTCAGTTTTTTCTTGTTACATATTGTATAAATATCCTTATGGCAAAAATATTTATTACTTTATAAGGTCATAACCGTCCATAAATGAAAATATAAGAAAGGGAAAAGTCATAAAATTCCTTTCCCAGAATTGATGAAATGTATTTATTCAAATATTCAAAATATTTAAAAACAGTGTATATACGAAATATTAATAAGAACAAGTTTGGATTTATTTTTTTATTTTTTTTTTGAAATCACCTGTAAAATTCTCAATGAACATGTTCTTACCTTTAAAGCCGATTCCCGCATGAATTGTTTTGCGCCATCATTCCATATTGCAGGTACTGTCAAAACCCATTGAACGTTCTGTGCCACTATTTCCGCACCAGAAATTCGTTTGTTGCAGTTTTCAAGCACATCGTCTTTCAGGAATCGAATACTCATCGAAAAAACATCAATAGCAAGCAGTGATCTGCCCATTTCATCTTCCAACATAAGGTTTCTGTTGATTTTCTGTATCGATTAAAAATAGAAAATTTTCCCTTAAAACTTTTTATCTTTAAGACTAAATGAACAATTTTAAGAACTAAAGTACAAAGCATGAAATTAATCAACATAAAAATGTGTACATGTAACATGTAAGGTACAGCCATTTGACGGAGCTAATAGTTTTATATACCTCGCCGAGTTTTCTGTTTAACACCATTTTGAATCGACGAAAAAAATAGTAGGAAGCGTGCATATTATCTTCTATTAATTCCCTGTATCTGTTTTCAGCTTCATAGCCAAAGGATTCTATCGTTTTGCCGTCGGGTTTTACCAGTAAGCATGTAGGGGTTTTTGGAGTCTGTATTGAACCTGAATTCCAGTATCGTGCAGATATTTTTGTTCGATCTGATTTGAAATCGGTGAAAAATGAAGAGGCCCAACCTGAATACGCTGTACCAAGGTCAAGGGATGCCACCATAATTGTTCTTGGAGCCTGAAATTATTAGAAAGGAACATTTTTAAAGAGAGAACCCACGATAAATTAAATGTTGAATTATTTCCCGGCATCAATTATTTCATAGTCATAACATTATGTTTCTGGAGTATTTGTGACGATTACCTTGGACTAAGTGTCTTTTTCTATTCTATGTTTAGTCTTTTCACTTTCGAACCTAAAACTTAAGCACTTTTTCTCCATGTAATATATGAAAACTAAAATATCTTACCAATTTTATTATTTGTCCAGGCGTGTTCCTTTTACCAACGATTACAGCGCCTGATATAATGTCCGCCTTACTTATAACATTTACATTTTGATGCAAGAGTTTAACCTCTTCCTGTATAAACGCTGTTTCTGCTAGCTGTCCGAACATCAAAATTTTGTTCAGTTTTTCAGGTTTAAGTTCTGCTTCTATATGTGACAAAACGTCTTTCTTTGCCTTTTCAACAAAGCCCATAAACTTGTTCGTAGGTATTTCCAATTTGTCAGTACGCTTTCTCAAATCTCGAAATTTCCATAAATCATCTGCAAAGTTTGTTTTGTTAATATTTTTGTACATGTCTAGGAGACTCACGGGTATTTTGAGACGCACATTTACATTATCTTTGGAAAATTTTCTTAGTTTAGATCCAACATAATCTTTCATGTCAAAATACTCAGATGATTCTAACGCCTTGAACGTTTCAAACACTTCTTCACCAAAAACTTGTATCATGAAGTTTTCTATAGCTTCTTCTACTTGAAGCATACCAGTTTGAAAGCTTTTGATAGATGAACCACCTTTTGAACAGTCCAGTTTAGGTCCTTGCTTCATAATATCCGTTGTATCTTAAAAGAAAACACATTAAATGTTTAAAGAATATTTTAATGTTCATTATTCTGTTATTGACTATGACGATAAAAAAACAAAAAAGTAATATTAACAAAATGTCCATCCGCATTTGACTCACATAGTAAATCCCTTACTTAGGCTCATATTTTACTTTGATATCAGTTGAGCTAGATTTCTTTTGTAGATAAAACTGCATTATTGATATTACTAATACATACATATACCGATTTGAACTTTGATATTGGTTGACCCCAATTTCAACATAATGAATGCCTTCCGCCATCAGTTTTATCTTATTTTAGTCTTCATACTCAGGTGAGGCATATAGCGCTAACATGTATCGTTTCTACAAAATCTTTGATTCACCAAATAGATACCATTGTCTTCATTTGACATATGACATTGACCCCCAAAATCAAATCACTATTGCATTGTTTCAAAGTTTAATTACATAGAAACAACTAGCGCTACCGACGAGCGGGGGCAACGCTTGTTTTTTGATACTTTCTTCTAAAAGCAAGCAAATTTAAGGTTTAAACAAATATTTCAAAAGAAAATTTTGAATTTTAGTTTTTTTAATTTTTTTTTTATTTTGATAGGTAGGAGTAGTCACACTTGTTGTTCTAGTATAAATCATTTTCATGATGTTCATTGTTCAGTTTTACATTTTCATCTGTGCACAGGGTGTGTCTGGTTGCATGTCTTACTTTGCCTAAGTAAAATCCGTAAAGACATTAAAGACAAACATTATGAGAATTTAAGCAAAATTCAACAATTTGACCCTAACGGTTATGGTAATTTAAAGTTCAAGGTTAAGGTCGGTTCATCAATTCAGATGGTTTTGTCCCAAATAAAAACATTTAAGAATGAACATAATTCATTAATAAATTAGAAATTACAGTAAATTATATCAGAATCACTAAAAATTCAATAATTTAACCTTTAAGATCATGGTAAAAAATGAAACAAACTCATTTCTTAGTTTGATATAAAATAGAACTGTGTTCAAAGGACACGGATGCCCCCACTGACAACATATATATGGTATATAGTGAAAAAATCTTAAAAAGTTTAAGCAAAATCTGCCATCCGGTTTAAGAGGAGTTGCGTTCACAAAATTTCTACATAGTATATAGTGAAAAAATCAACAAAGGGCCATAATTCTGTTAAATTTGGTCGAAGCGAAAATTCGTTCCTTACTTCTATCTACACATTAAGGTTGTTCATTCCTGGAAGTTTAAGCAAAATCTGCCATCCGGTTTAAGAGGAATTGCGTTCACAAGATTTTGGGACGTACGGACAGACGTAGGAACGGATGGACAGACGGAAGTACGGACGGACGGACAAGTGCAACGCTATATGCTCCCACTTTGTGGGGGCATAAAAAGTTGTATCCAAAAAAATGTTGTGTCTACATATGAAGTTAATCCATGCATTCATTACAAAGTTATAGCCACTTACAGCAAAAAGATAATTGCAGTAATTTGACCTTCAAAGTCAAGGGCCGTCTTATTATCTTCAAGTTATATCCTAAAAAAATGTGGTCAATTGGGGCCACCCCAATTGTGGCAAAGTATGAAAATAATACACCAAGAAATAAAAAATATGCAACGGCAACAGGTACAATTATGCCGACATGACCATCATGACAATAACCGTTGTTGTTGTTGTTTAAATCGTGCTAGAAAAGAACTACACTTTTTGTACTATATAGTGTTGTTGTATGGTGATGAGGCAAAGCATCCGTTCACGAATGCAGTCTTGTTTTTTTCTTTCTTTCTGTTTGTTGTTTTATTGCTTCTCGCGACATTTCGCAAGACATTCAGTGTCAATTTTACTTGGCTATACATCAAAATACAAAGCGTCACATTGTAACTAAAACACGATATTCCTCATGAAGGTATTATGAAAGTACTTCTATTTATATACTTGGCATAAAGCATAAAAAAGTAAGATATATAAAACAGGTGATCTTGGAAACTGAATATTTTATAAAGGAAAGATATTAGATACACTTTGAAAAGTTATATTTGCTTTAGTGCTGAACAAAGTGTTGGTCGCGCAGTAAGCCCTCAAACAGTCGATCACAAAACTAAGGTGGCTGGTAGCGTCCATTTAAAAGCCGTAAAATATTTTACCGTCAGATAGTACAATGTCGCAGTCAACTTTAAAACACGCGAGATTTTATGTCGAAATTGTATAAAACGTTGCGACTAACAGAAACTCTTGAGTTTTCCTCCATTCTTCTGTAGTAAAAACTCAAGTTGTACAATGAAAACCGCGACATCTTATTTCTGCATAGTAGACTAAGCCACGCAAACATTTGCCTAACTTAAGATTGCGGCCATTCTATAATCTGCGATATTTTGTTTTAATGAAAAACCTTATAAAAAGTCGAGTTCGAGCACTAAGCCTCTCTTTTTTGTGCCGGGAAGTGCCTCTGCGCAAAACGTCGCGACTGAAAAATGCTATTACTCGCGGCGATATTTGGCTTATTTTATGAAACCGTTGTTGAGGACCAAAAGTCGCCGCCAATAATTTTTCTGCTCTGCACCTTTTTGTTGAATTTCTGCAACATTTGCAAAAACTGTATGCAAATTTCTGTCTGTTTCTACAAAATGGAATAAAATGTAGAATCAAACCATGGACGCTATTGTCCACTGAGGTAAACAGGAACCGGTTGAAGTGGGTGATGGTTTTGGACACAGGATAGTATAAAAAAATGAACAAAGGGCAATAACTCCAAAATAAGGCAAGACAGAGTTATGTTTATTTTTGCACTGCACTTTTATTAATGAGATCTATCTACCTACAAAGTTTCATGTTGATATTTCTTGTAGTTTTAGAGTTATGTTCCGGACAAAGTTCAAAGTGTAAAATAAACAAAGGGTAATAATTCAAAAATTAGGAAAGGCAGAGTTACGGTTATTGTGCACTACACACCTACTTAATAGGATCTAACTATTTATTAAGTTTCATGTTGATACTTTTTTTAGTTTTAGAGTTATGTCCCGGACAATGTTCAAAGTGTAAAAATAACCAAAGGACAGTAATTCAAAAATAAGGCAATTACGGTTTTATGTTTTTTGCACTGCACTTTTATTCAATGAGGTTTTATTTTCTACCTACAAAGTTTCATGTTGATATCTCTTACAATTTTAGAGTAATGTCCCGGACAAAGTTCAAAGTGTCAAAATGAACAAAGGGCAATAACTCAAAAATTAGGAAAGGCAGACTTACGGTTCTTGTGCACTGCAAACCCACTCAATGAGATCTATCTACATACAAAGTTTGATGTTGATATCTCTTATAGTTTTAAGGTTATGTCCCTGACAAAGTTCAAAGTGTAAAAATAAACAAAGAGCAATAATTAAAAAAATAAGCAAGGCAGAGTTACGGTTCTTGTGCACTACACACCAACTCAATGAGATTTATCTACCTACAAAGTTTCATGTTGATACCTTATGCTGTTTCAAAGTTATGTCCCGGACAAGGAAAGCGGACGGACTTGCCAACATTTGGGGTTTATGTGCTTTTTCTTTGATCTTTATGTGGCATTTTTCCCAATAAATCAGTAAAATTACCACATAAACCAGTTGGTTTATGGGATTTTCTCCTTTTTTAAACTAAAATTATTGACGGAATATAGCTCATAGACCATTGGATGTTCGCCCGGACGGACGGATGGATGGACGGACGAACAAGGCGGCGAGTATATGTTCCCCAAATTTTTTCGGGGAGCATAAAAAGGTTCCTTGCTGTTTCGAACAACTGTCATAAAATGTCGAGGTTTTTACGTTTTCCCGCGACATTTTGTACGACAAATAATCTAGCGGGTTTGAAAGTTGCCCGCGACATTATATGATAACACAATTAAATTTCTCGATGGTTTGAAATGCCACAACCGGCCAGACATATTTTAATGGTGTTTTGTGGGTTTTAAACTTCCCATTATTAAGATAAAGACTGTTCTATCTCACGGGATCATTTGATACTTAACGAAATATCATGTTTCTGTTGACAGTTGCATGTGATGTTCAGCCTTCATAACGATTTACGAATTTCAATTGAATATTCTAAAGCACATGTATAATCAATAAATCAATAAAATAGACACGATTTACAGAATTGTTTTATAAATAGACTACCTTCATTAGATAAAAAGAGTGGGACAATCTTTTAATATTTACAATCCTTAACAATTTCATAATCAATGATAGGTCATTAACCATAACGAGTATAAAAAAGCAAGCATTAATAAATGAATTCCAGCTAAACAGCAGAATTAGACAGTATGAAGTCACTTTAACAACCGATCATCTTTAAAACCCATTTACGAACTGCATTTATTTCAAAAAGTTTCCAGTAAAATCTCTGCACGTTTTTTACAGTTTACCTTCTGTTCACCAAGTCGCTATTGCAGCCACATTAAAACCGATTTTATTTTAAGTGGTCACAAAATGCATGAGAATTGGGTTCACCGTTTACCTCGACATCAATAGGGCCCGTAAGTCTCGTTTACTTTCACTTTCGATTTACCACTTCCGGGTACATCGGCAGACTTATTTACCGTTACGCATATAGGTAACCCGAAGAACTCGAGGGGTATAGAAGTTAAATTTGTTTCGGTCCTCTTCAGATTTGAAGGAATGGATAGCACGGGTCAAAAAATGCAGGTAGGTTAATTATCTGACGGAAAAACGAGGGATTTATAGAGTTTAATAAAACTAGTTTATTTTCGGATAGTGACAATTGTTTCGGATGTTTTGTCAAGGTAGTGAATTGTAGTTGTTTAGCTTTTAGTATTGTTTTAAAACTACTGATGTGAGAAATTAATTCAAACCATTTTAACTTGTTGAAATAAACAATGGAGAAACATTTTAATTCTAGTGTATATTAAAGTTATACAAAATTCGGACATTGCACAGTAATTCGGATATTTTTCCCTTCCATTTTATTCTTGTTCCTTTTTCAGTTATATATACATGTTAATATGGTACCAAGCAAATTATGATTGATTTAAAAAATATTATATTTGATTAAACCATTTCAGATGTATAGACAAGGAGGTATATGACAAGTATAGAGTATACAGTTGTTCAATATGGACCATTAATCAACTGTTTGCACTGCCTATGATCCTGAAATATCTATACATCAAAGGTAAATACATGTAAATACATGTAAAATAATTGATCAATTTTTAGTTGAGATTGGAAAGATAAACAATTATCCAAATATATTAATAACTTGGATTTCACTGCATGATAATTGATAAGTAAATAAAACATTAAAAATAGTCATGTTTCAAATTCAAGAAGATCAATATTTTTGACTGTTATATATTATGTGTTGTTGTTTATCTTTAATGTTTATTTACTTCAAATATGAAATTTTTCTGTCAATCATGACCAGTTTATTAAATGTAATGTAAATATCATTTCTAGTGTCTTACACTTTTTGTCCATGAAGACCTTTATTGCAACTACCATCTTCCAGTTCCTTAATTTGAGAATGATATCAGAGAACACACAGTTACAGTGAAATATTAGTTTAATATAAGCCACTGAGAATAGTCAAATGTACTTTCCTGAAGAAGATGAATGACATCCAGCACAAAAATCTCAATGTATAAAGAGTATGATTTTATGGTGTTTGACACTATGAACATGTTAATGTCACAATGATAGAAACAGAGTAAAATATCCACATTTCATTGCAGTTTTTAGTATTAAAACTAGATACTCTATATATACCAAAGCTGATAACACACCAGAGATAAGGTTTTTCATGGAATCACAGTATAGTCATATGACATTATGGACATTAAATGACTATGAAGTAAAGATTAGCAAAAATATTATATATCATCTACTACTAATATTGTGAGGTAATCATTGATAAGCTCACAAATTTGCATTCAAAGCTTTGATATCAAGCTGAACATTTTTTAATTAGAATATGATTTATAACTCTATGATAATTTGTTCATGTTAATTTTCAAAGTCTTTACATTTGTAAAAGGAAATATTCTTATTCTTGTATCAGTAGACATTCACAGTGTAAAGTTACATTGTCAAAATAACTAATAATAAATCCAAGTGCTTTCCTGAAGTTTTTCTTCCACTGGAAAATCAGTGTGATATATATGCTAAGCAGTGCACTATAAATTGTGTAAAAATAAAAGTTTATTAAACTTATGAACTGTTTTTTGTTTCTACTATTTGGCATATATTTATAGCAGTGCTTGATCATAAGAGTTCATCTGCAAAATAAGTGTCACTGTGTACTTTAATTCTCTAACAGCAATGGCTTAGATTGCTTGAATATGCAAGCATTGACTATATTAAAATACTATGCATGTCATTTGAATTTTGTCTGTCCTGAAATCGAAACAGACACTATCCAAATAATATTGATGAAAAGTTCTTGACAGCTCTTCAATGACTACATTTACACATATGTACATGGACAGAAGTTAAAAGCATTGTGTGGTGTTTTTTTTTGTTTGTTTTTTGAAACATTGACAATTTTGAAACAGTTCCAATGGGTATATTAATGTATCAGTGATGTAATTGTTTTGTATCAAGTGCAAAACCTAAGTTTTTCATGTATTGTATAGATAATTCACTTTTTGTCAAATGTCAACAGGTTCAATACATTATAAAATAGGTAATTTGAAACCCAAAGAAGTATATGGTATGTAATAACTACCCCTCTGATACTAAAATCTTCAAGGAATGCAGAATTGCAAGTCTTCTCCAATTAAGAGAGAGACTTGGGCTTACAAGGGCTAGCAAGCTAGTGTTTTGCTACAGAATACTCAACACAGATGAATTGCATTAATATTGTTTACGGGTTTACTCTGGTATTACTACCTGCCATGTACAATGCAAATCATGGCTTTTCTAAGAGCAGTGAAAGGCTATAACTGGAAGGAATTTTACACATCTTGCCTCAGAAACAAGTTTTTCATTGAGATGATTTTTATGATATTTAAATAATGGTTAAAGATTACATTACTTTTACAATTATGTCAAAACCAAAAAAGGCAATTTCAAATAATAATATGATTTATTAGAGCTAGCAGACACGTAAACAACGATAAGTCAAATACAAATTGAAATAATGAATCAGTGTTATGCAGTATACACATAAACACTTTACAACATCAATGAAAATAAATGTTATTTAAACAAAGATAGAATGATCTATTCATGAGAAATACAGAATGAATAGGAACAAAACCGCTTTAACAAATGTAATAGAATATATAAGCGGAAATAATTAAAAATGAAACATAAACAGATTAAAAACATGCAATACAGAACTAAACAAGCTAAACAATAAAGAACACAAAAAGGGCGGGAGGGAGTGGCAAAATCGAAGAAAACAACCGACTGGAAACGTGTCTTGACAAAAACTGTAACTAAAAGGCGCCAAAACCTAACTTAAATACAGTTTGGCGTAATGATACAAAAGTGACCCTTGACCTAACTGGTGAAGTAACCAATCAAAAAGGTTGTTTATTGATATACAACAAATGGAATGGAGTAATAGTACAAAAATGACCTCTGACCTATATAAAGAACAACCAATGAGAAAGGCTGTTTTATCCATAATTAAAAGATTTTATTGTAAACAAAATGCTTCAAATTATGTCAAAACCAAAAAAGGCAATTTCAAATAATAATATGATTTATTAGAGCTAGCAGACACGTAAACAACGATAAGTCAAATACAAATTGAAATAATGAATCAGTGTTATGCAGTATACACATAAACACTTTACAACATCAATGAAAATAAATGTTATTTAAACAAAGATAGAATGATCTATTCATGAGAAATACAGAATGAATAGGAACAAAACCGCCAACTCCCGGCCAAACATAAAGCAGAACAAAATTATATACAAAAGCATAATATATAAGTACAAGAAATGTAAGTTAACACAGAGCTACCATCAAGACAATTACCAAAAATATCATTACTCTAAGGGATTAAACAGTTTTAAGTAAATATATATAAATAAATAATAATTCTTAAAGGAAGCTCTGTGCAAAATTACAAGCAAACAAAAAGTAAATTAAAAGCAATAGCAAAGCAAAATAACAGCATTCAAAAATGATGAATCAAGATGTCAGAAAAATGGGTACCCAAAGATAAAGATGAAAAAAGAAACAAGGGTAACGTCAAGATACCATTACCACTTATTCCCAAATCCTCAAAGGAGTAAATATACCTCCTTTAAAAGGAAAAACTCACAGATGATATAAAGATGCTAACATCATATGAGCAACAATAGCCGAGGAAATAAAATACTTCCCTCAAAGCTAAAACAACCCAAGTCTACAATATGATATCCCATTAAACTGACATCAAGATGAAAATAATAAAATGGATGCTAATATACAAATGTTACAATACAAGCAAATAGAAAATTTATGAACAAAGAAATTTATGTCATGCAAGAAATAAAATGAAAGTTAAAGAGGAGCACAAAAACAAAATAAAAGTTGCTCCTTTTGTTGTTTGCAATAGAATAACACTTCTGTGCCACAAGTTGGGAAGATCAATTATTTTTAACTATTTTTTAAAAATAAATTACAAAGCAAATTAGCCTTTCAGTAAATGAGCCACTGTACGAATGAAAAAATTACGAAGGAGTCTAACCCCTTCAAAATTTAAGTGCAAACCACCGTCTCTGACTGCGAAAACCTCGAGATTTGGTTTACCACAGTAAAAGAAAGGACGATAGGAATGAATGAACTGACAATGACGTTCTTTGCATTTAGCCTCTAACCTCTGATTTAATAACTTTACCTTAGAACTAGTCTGAGAATAATCAACTGGACGAGGAAGTATACTTGAAAAAACAATATGAGTCGATGAAATACTACGAATAACTGTAATCAAATTATTAAAATAACTCAAAATTTGATCAACTGACAACTTGTCATGAGAATTAACATCATTAGTTCCAACATGAATGATAGTAAAAGGCTTGTTGACCAAAGAGGGGTCACGTTGAATCTTGGTTGTTAATCGAACCAAATTAATTCCTGGAAAAGCATGAACCCTTGTAAACCAAATGCCATCCACATGTTTAGCAATTGAGTCAGAAAGAATATGAACTCGTACATCTGCAAAGAGAAATTCAAAAACTGAATTCTACAAAACATCAAACATTTTAGTTAAAATGTGTGCCTTATCAGACCAATTTAATTCTAAATATGATTTGTAAGCATCTGATTTCCAATCACCAAGCAACTGAATATGCTCTGGGGGAATATTGGAACGATGAGCAAGGGTTGCAAAACCCCTCCTGAATGAATGAGTAGAAAAACTTTCAGGAGATAAACCGATTAAAGATATACACTCCCTTAATTTTTTTTGAAATAAGTAATAAGAAATATAAGAACCATTTGTAAGAGTAAATGTGATGTTAGTTCTAGTACAGATGAGAGTAGCAAAGTGTGGTTTTGCTCCATGTGATGCTTCTTTTTCCAAATATTTAATCATGTGACTTGGAAATAATTTAGCCCCCGAATGATTCTTAACTTTTGAGGTTTTAGAAAACAAAATACTTGTGTCATACAAATCTACATCTATTGGAAAACCAAATTTCAATAACTCACAAACCTGTAAGTCATTATAACCATGAAGCATTCTTGTCATAAATGCGGTATCAATCTTATGATTAACCGGAATACGACAACCCTCAAAATTAAATTTACCGGAGGCTTTAACCTGTCTAGCAATGTCCAGCTTGTTTAAAGAAGATAAATTTAACTGATCTTTAACAGAAAAACAAACTTTACACTTTCTGTTATGACTACAAAAACAATCAAAATCATTTGTGTCTTGAAGTTTTAGAGAATGTTCCATATTCCTTTTACAAAAATCAGGTAAAAATAAATCAACTAATTTATTCTCAGAAAAAACACAATTGGACAGTCACTGATTAGCGTGTGGACATGCACTGGAACATTCAGGATGAGGTAACTCTTTCTTGTCTACATCCCAACAAGTCGCACAGATATGCTTAGCAAAGTGAGTTTTACCTCCCTTTGATGTGACAATATGAGCAGATTTAAATGAACATTTGTTCCTCTGATATTTTGAGCAAAACCACACTTTGCTACTCTCATCTGTACTAGAGCTAACTTTAACCTGAGGAATATTGTACCTGGGATTTGGCTTCAACTGTACTGACTCAGATCTGAATCTAAATTTTTGACAGTGTCTGGCCAGAACAGCTGATTCCACATACTGAAAATCATCGCCCCAAGCACTATGACCAAGCTCTATTTCTCTTAAAACTGCAGCATATAATGATTTTATAACATTGAAATCATAAGAGCTGTTGAGATACATTAACTTTCTCAAAAAATTCAAACGACCTTGTTTTTCTTTCCTACAAATTCCTGAAGAGCAAATAATTTCCAATTCTCCAGCAATAAATAAGTTGAAATCAATATTATCAAAAGATACATTTTGGTTAACAAAATCAAAGCGTAAATTAGAATGAGGATATTGCTGTTTAAATTTAACAGAATCTGACGATCTTGAAGCAATTCCTGATTTAACCTTATGTGTCTTATTTCTACCACTTTTAGATTTTTTACTTTGTTCCAAAGAGTTATCTAAATCACTATCAACATCTGACGTAGAAGCACACGATGAATCACAACTAGAATCAGTGTCTGAAGACTCTGAACTTATCAAGCCTAAATTTGCAAGTTCCTTCTTAGCCGCTTTTCTTAAATTGGACATTTTGCGTAAAGCATTTATATCAAGTGACGTACCTTCTGCACCGGCATGTGAAGATTTGGATGATTTCTGCCCTCGAGAACTGGAAGTAGTGGGACGAATATGTCTGCCCTTCTTTCTAGACGATAAATCTGAAGCTTGAGGTTGAAGGGACTTCTCTAACTCACTAACAAACGCTTCTTTCTCCTCAACTTTCTTACGAAGAATTTCTAATTCTCTCCGCTCCTGTAAACGAGCCTGATGCTCATCCAACTCACTCAAACGCCGCAACAACCTCTCTTTTTCCTCTTTTTCGGCCAAATCTGAACTTGGACGTAATTCCGGAAGTACCTCAGGCGGTGTCACAGTAGAATCTTCTTCATTCAAATCAAACAACTGGCTGGGAGAAGCCAGAACAGGTTCAATTAATTGCCTCTTGGGAGTAAATCCCTTTCCCTCATTCATAGCTTTATAGTCAGGAACTTCTTTGTTTCTAGCTGATCTCCTGTCGGTCATATTGAACAAATTTCAAAAACAATAAAAAATACCTGTCCTTCAAAAGATAAATACACACAAACAGGCTAGTCCCTGAACAACTGACGATCAAATAGTTCGCTACTCTACATCGTATATGATGAATGGAAAACTGAAGGAAACTTATCAATATGAAATTCGGGCACAGTAAAAACCCTTTCCAAAAACAAAATCGAAGAAAACAACCGACTGGAAACGTGTCTTGACAAAAACTGTAACTAAAAGGCGATATAAACCTAAAATTAAATACAGTTTGGCGTAATGATACAAAAGTGACCCTTGACCTAACTGGTGAAGTAACCAATCAAAAAGGTTGTTTATTGATATACAACAAATGGAATGGAGTAATAGTACAAAAATGACCTCTAACCTATATAAAGAACAACCAATGAGAAAGGCTGTTTTATCCATAATTGAAAGATTTTATTGTAAACAAAATGCTTCAAATTGCAGTGATCATGGTGATAATATGAAATGAAACTCAATCAAGATAGAAACATTTTAATGCTGAACATTTATCTTTTTACCATTCCTGTTACTTTACAGTCTATTTATAACAAATTTATCTTAACTGTTTTGAAACTACATGATGCCTGGTTGAAACTGTTTTGGACAGCCATTTGCAGAAGATAAATTATCTTGGAATAATTAAGTTAATACAAAGTTACAAATGACAGGTTAATTATTTCTAATAAAGACAGGTTATTTATTTCTAACAAAGACAGATATTTTGTTTAACATTTTTACACTGACATATATCTTTGAAGTGTCTTCAACCTTAGTTTTTATTAGAATACAAACATTCAGTCAGACAGTTTACACAAGACATGGAGCTTTAAGAAGCTTTAATTCAGTCAAAATCTGTAATGGACTGCCATGTCTCTACCACTATGTACTCCAAGACTGTGTATGGACATTTCCTTTCAACTATGCCTGGTGGTATCACTATTTGACTTCTAATCTGATGGTGAACACTCCAAAATAAATCAAGAGCCATGACAAGTACTCAAGATCCAACCAAGAAATCACATACCTGTATATAAAGAAAATTTATCATGAGTTGAAAGCAATAATAATTGGTCAGCTATAAATTTCAAGCATTTTCATATTGTCATGAATAGAAAATAATGTTGAAAAGGAAGAAACACTTCTTGGTGTCCTAGTTTAACTAAAAAATATGACCCACTCACTTGAGAAAAATACTTAAAACAGTATTTAACATGAATTAACTACATATGCCATACTGTTTGTTTATTTACCTACACTGTAATTATTTACAAAAATGAGAACATTATATGTAATACAATAATATTTATTTTTCATTAATGTAGTTTAAGTAGGTTTAATATATATATCTTACCAAAACGATTTTACAGCAGAGCATGCATGTGTATTTACATCGGATACCAGTTCACGTCTTTCATCTCACCACTGTCCTCAGTCTAAATACAGGAGCAAAATATTTCATTGAATTTTATGACAATTTAAATTAGTTATAATACTATATACAGATTGACTGTTTGTGCTTTATAAAGATAATAATTATAAATAAATAATATTTTCAGTTGGAAAAAATATATTCAACTAAAACACACTGATAATCATATTGAAACGTTTATCCGAAATATGCGCTGTCCGAAATTTCTAAACATTATATACTTCTGAGAGATAATCAGGTAGCGCTATAGAAAATTGATAAAATCAAATTCACCAGTCTGGTGTCAGATGCGAATGATGTTGTATCAAAAAACAAATTTATTAGATTTACATGGAAATGAAAATATTACAACATTTATTGGGATAAACTGAATTTGAAATGACACACCCACCTGAAGATTATACGAAGTTGTCTTTCAGTGATACTTGTTCACAAGATGAAACCATTTGCATTTCGTTACAAAACAAAAAACTCTGCCAATTTCCACATATCATTTGCTTTTCCATGTAAGTTTTCCTTTCCCATCGGCATACAAGTATTATACTACCCAATATAGATAAGCAATGTTGTTGATGTTTGTTTGTACCCGGAAGTGCAAAATATCGTGAAATCTCGCAAGTCACATGACGAGACTTACATACCCTATTACTAGGTGTATGTTGAGACCATTGATGTCTTAAAACTGTGTGATTTTGTACTCCGCGAAAATAAAGCATGCCCTTCGTATCTTTTTGTTTTTCAATTGTGTTCAGTTTACCTAAGTATTGATAATTTCTTTGAGTAGCAGTTAGATTAAGTTGACAATTTTAGATCATCACAGTATTTGTTCGGGGTAATAAAATAAACTAGAACTCAGCGAGTCGGATGTGTCGCCTTGTGAACAATATAGTTTAAGAGAAATGGCAAAGACAAAAATGAAATTTGAAAATCAACAAAGGGCAATAACTCAAAAAATAAGAAATGCAGATCAGCAGTTTCTGTGCACTGCACTTCTTATCAATAAAATCTGTCATCCTATTAAGTTTCAAGTCTAAAGCTTTCATAATTTATGAGAAATGGCCTGGACAAAAATAAAGTATGAAAATTAACAAAGGGCAATAACTCAAAAAATAAGAAATGCAGATCAGCAGTTTCTGTGCACTGCACTTCTTATCAAAAGATCTATCATCCTAATAAGTTTCAAGTCTTAAGCTTTTATAATCTATGAGAAATGGCCTGGAAAATAAAGTATGATAACTAACAAAGGGCAATAACTCAAAAAATAAGAAATGCAGAGTACCAGTTCTTGGGCACTGCACTTCTTCTTAATGAGATCTATCACTCTATGAAGTTTCATGTCCATAGCTTTTATACTTTAGGAGAAAAGGCCTGGACAAAAATAAAGTATTAAAATTAACAAAGGGCAATAACTCAAAAAATAAGAAATGCAGAGTACCAGTTCTTGTGCACTGCACTTCTTCTTAATGAGATCTATCATCCTATGAAGTTTCAAGTCCATAGCTTTTATACTTTAGGAGAAAAGGCCTGGACAAAAATAAAGTATTAAAATTAACAAAGGGCAATAACTCAAAAAATAAGAAATGCAGAGTACCAGTTCTTGTGCACTGCACTTCTTCTTAATGAGATCTATCATCTTATGAAGTTTCAAGTCCATAGATTTTATACTTAAGGAGAAATGGCCTGGACAAAAATAAAGTATGAAAATAAACAAAGGGCAATAACTCAAAAAATAAGGAGTACAGAGTACTGGTTCTTGTGCACTGCACTTCGGGTCATTATGAGAAGCATGCATACCAAGTTTGAAGTCAATCCGACTTATAATGACTGACTTATGCTCTGGACAAGCTTTAGGGGACGCCGACAACGACACCGACGACGACACCGACAACGACGCCGACAACGACAACGACGCCGCCGACAAAAGTAACCCCTATATGTCGCCTTTTTCAAGGCGACACAATAACACATGGGTTTGTGAAAAACAGTAAAAATATAATCCCTCGTAAAGTACTGTTACCCTCGGCGTTAACAGTATTTTTCTAGGGTTGATATTTTTACTTTTACCCACAAACATATTTGTTATTTATATAATCATATTTTTTCATTGCCAATAAAACAATCTATGTCGGTATAAAGAAGGACAAATTGAATACCTACCACCTAGTCTAACAAAAAGATTTGTATCTTCACTTGAAAAGCCATGAGATGAAGCAAACTGACAATAAAAGGAAAGTGCGACTATGTCCGTGACAACAGATACCATTTTATCTTTAATTCCTGCCTTAAAATAAAGATCATGACATTGTATTTCACATGGTTATATAAACAAATTATAAAATTTACTTACATAATAATAAAGAACCCTCAATATTGAAATGTTTTGTAAATATTTTTTTACAACTGAGCATCTTATTATAATATCATGAGATATTGGAAAAAAGTTAACTCCAAAGATACTTAGAATTGTATTGCATATTAAAGATTAAACATTGTATTAAACTTGCACGGCAAGTTGTCATCTAGATATATGTTTATATGGCATATTGAAAGGCTAAAAGGTATACCTGACAGATGAATATGTGAGACTTGCGTTGGATGTGTGCTGAGGTAAAATATATAAGTGTAGAAATGCGCTATGAGAAGGGAATAGTAGAAAAAGCGATGACCTTACAAGGAAGCAACCTGAAAGAATGAAGTCAAGTAAAATTGGATATTACTATAAAGGGTTATTCACGATAAGACCTGCTCAGAAAATGGAAAATGATGACAATAATCATAATTAGCAACAGACTGAGAAGGAAACTAGTGAAAAAGTTTGAGAAAAGTAGTTGTAGTGTAGGACATGCAGCAAGCTGGCATAGAGATCAAATAGATTGGAATCACGAGCAAATGAGAAAAATAGATTTATGCTCGGTTATACATAAACAAACTGATAAATCTTTTTCAGGAATCAACTTTGTCATAAAAGTACTTTTGGCAATGACGATTGGAATTTATAGGGGTGTGGCCAATTTTCAGAATTTAATGTGTTTGTAGACATATCTTAAGGGGAGAACAATAAGATAATTGATAAAGATTTAGTTGATTATCTTAAATCTGTTTGGATTAGAACCCTCTGCGGTGAAGAGCAAGTGGTTTGAAGCCATGGCACTATAATATATCATAATATACTATACATTGTAATTTATTAATATATGTGGTTAATGCTGCAAACAAATGACTGAAACAGTCATTAATTCTAAACCAGATAGTTTGAGTATAGTTGTCAAACTGCGAAATTTTAGAAAATAAAACGATTGCGTGAGTATACCTCAACTTTCATATATTGGTGAGACAATGTCAAGACAAATGTCGGTATTTGGAATGGCTGATAATCAAGCTTTTAAAGGAAAAAGAAATATTATTTCTACACGGTCAAGAATTTTATATCAAGCATTATTCTTTTGTCAAATTTTCGGAAAAATTTAAAATCAGTCCTCGTTTTGGCAAATTTTAGGGATTTTTAAATATGGCTATCTTAATAGGAAATTGGTCTTACAAATGTTAAAATGAGTGGTGTAGGGTAACATTTTTTATATTTTTTAAAAAAGAAACCATTTTGCTTATGTGGATTGTAAGCTGAATTTAATTATTTGATTCTTAACAATAAATAATGGAAAAACATTGTTTCCATATGGATGATATTATAGACTATTAAAACGTTCCTCATTTCTGAAAATGGCCCTTCTAATAGCCAAGCCTGAGTTCCGAAAATTGATTGTAACTCGTTTACGAACGGAAAATTCTGTTTAAAATTTACATGCAGTCTTTTAAGGCATATATTTGATCAATGTTAGCATTATTAAAGTTCTTTACAGTGGTCGTTAGGGTGGTCATACCTTAAAAAAATATTTGTACAATATTTCACTGTATTCAAATTATTGATATGTATATGATGTTTCGGGCTGGAGGATTTGTATCAATAAATATTTTGTCATTGTATTTTAGCTAGTAGACATGATTAGGATAAATCAGCCGTTTAAGTGTAACAAGAGCCGCGGAAATTTCTCAATTCGGGGTAAATTTTAAAGTAAAAAGTAATGAGAACTGAGCGGCGTACTTTTTACACAGACTATTCTCCAAAAGAAAAAGGGTCCCTGCACAAATGCTCACGACAACTAGAACTTCCAGTTGTTTGTGACATAAATGAAGACAAAACTGAAGTTTTTTAAAGTAGTCTTGCTAAGGCTATGCAGCTAAGGTCCCTCCTTTTAAGTCAACTAGGGCCTATACACCCTACCACCTTCCAGTCGTCCCTGCCTGCTGTTTTGGTCCACTCCCCTCGGCTTCAGTCAGGTTGTACATCAAGAACATGATCCACCGGTGAGAAAATAACATATAATTTTTTGTTTAAAGTAACAGTAACGTCAAGTGAAAACCTCTTTCTTTAGATTCAACAAATTGCGTTTTACGAAAAGAAGTAAATTAATGTATGAATACCTTTAACGCGGCCTTTGTTATCAAATTCAGTCCCCGACTTTCCTGCAAAAGTGCTGGAACAACTATGACAAAATAAAGATCTTCCTTGACGTCAAATCTGTACTGAGAGGAGTGTTGCCTTTTCATGTCATCTAGTAATGATTGTATAATTATTGCAAACAAATTTATTGCTGGCAAACTTTTTTAAGTAATATCCTCGATAAGTACTTTGTTCTCGTCCTGAAATTATAAACACAATAATTTATTTCAAGTGCACATTGTTGTGTCACACACCAAATACTATCAAGTGATACGTACGCGTCAACAAATATTTCAAACTGTGCTAGCTTGCATTAACATCAAGTAATGATTAAGAAAAGATGTATTATTTAAATAAAACGAGTTTTTAGTTTAATTAACAGTATTTTTAAGTGCTTTGAAGTTTTATCATCCTTTTGGGGGCTGATTTACATAGATGATAATAACAGGATATTTCATTAGTTGATACATTGTAGCATCCCTTTATGTGAATTTTGCACGTAGGTATTACCATATATGTTTGCTCTAAACGAAGGAAAACTTTCGAGAAACGTAGTCCACATACAAACATACATACACACGCGCATCCACAAACACACACATTATCTAGCAGTGGTTGCACAACATAAGGGTTGATAAATAAGACATGCACAGAGAAATATATATAAAGATGTCAAGCAAGAGCAACTCTTTTTAAAACATTTAAAGAAAATTAAGATTATGAAGAAAAACATATGAGCACATCCTCCGGAGCGATATAAGTGAAATCCCTATACGAGAGTTTTAAACTGGTTTATAATACACAAAGTCCTACTTTTAGCGTTGCTGCGAACTAAGTACATAAAACAAAATCGTATAATTGTCATGTTAACAAACATTTAAGTGAAAATGACATTTAAGTTTATTATATAAACGCATATTGATAATACTCTAATGACAACATAAAACTCATTCAATGACAAAAATTGTTATCAGTAAATATACGTATAATTTTCGTGCTTATTTAGGTTTCTGCTTGTAATGTAAAGTGGGCAACTGTCTACTGTCTTTAGAAGTTTTGTAACATTATAATAACCTTTTACCTTTTTGTTGAACAATAAATCTCCTTAGAAGTTTTGGATATTGACATATCATATGCATTAGTTTTCACGTTGCTTTCTAAAGCACGAGTCGTTCATCAAAAGATAGACTCGTATAAAATCACCGCCAGCTTTCGTCTAGTCATATTAAGAGTTACATTGATAAAGGTATACAATAACCAATCGCATTTGCTCTTATATTACCATACATTGTCGGGCATCTCCTTACAAAACCATATATAGTTTGGCAAAGAAATAAAGGGAAATGTTTAAAAATCATGATTTTAGAAAAACAGAAGCTGGTCATGGGGGATATACGTATGATAGTCTAAGAAAAAGCTCTAGCTAGGAGATTGATATTTTCAAAATAATTCAAGAAAAAGATTAATTCAAAGAAATGTATGTTCACAGAAAAAAAATAAAAGAAATTCACTACACTGAAATGATGGCAAAATTTAACAGACTAAAACAACTGACTTTGATTGCGTTTAAAATATTTATAAAAATGTACTTTTGTTTTTAAGAATCAAGACTATTCGAAAAAATCAGAAATTGATTTTAGAAATTGCCGTCAAAATGTTTCTAGGATAGAAATTTTTTATAAAATAGGATTATTTCACATACTGTTTAATGACATAAGCATTTACGTGAAAAAGGTTATCAAAAACAGCTTGAGGAAGGAAATGCAAGATTTGTGTAAACAGCGTTTGCTATGGTTTCTCAATGCAACCACAGTATACATGTACAGTAAAGTTTATATCATTCAATCATTCACTGTTGTTTTTTTTTTGTTTTTTTTTTGTTCTTTTTTGTTTAGTGTATATCGGCAAACTGACAAAGTGAGTTAATATTTACATAATCACGAACCTTGAGCAAGATTGTAACATTCAAGAAAGACATTTTTGACTGTAATGTTCATAGCAAGCTATATAAAATTGACCATCATTTTGTGTCAAAATGTGAAAACGTGTTGCCATAGCTTGCCCGATACAGTCTTATCAAAATTGGCGAAAAGAAATTTAGTCGCCAATCTCAATACGTATTATGGTAAAAATCAAGTAGTTACTAGAGACCGGACCAATAGATTTTTCAGCACAAAAAATTGAAATTATCATCGAGCAGTTGTCCCAACTAAAAACCCCGTTTGTGGTTTATTTCTTCTCGGGTTATCGCAAAATACAAAAAGTGTATCCTACAAAGTCGATATTTGCTTGAAACACTCATGCAATGTAGCATCAACCATCCTAACTGGACTTTAACCTTGCTTTATGACTAATCAATCCCTGAATCAAGAGGGGCCATCTACAAAATACGACTAACATTAAGTGAACATTTACACGCCAAATCTTAGGGCTCTTTACCATAGAGTTCTCTATTTATTGGCCAAGACCATGTTGACTAACTTATGAATAAGAGGGGTTAGCTAAGCTATGACGAAATTCTTTGATAAATTTTAGACTGTGCTTACAATTATCTAATTATTGATCAGACAAGTTTTTAGTAACCAATGCCAAAGTGGTATTGACCCTTGACCTTTAAACTTCAAAACCATTTAGGACCATCTACTAGTCGTGACTTACCTCAACATGAAATATTTGTACGATAGGCTGAATAGTTCTCTTGTTATTGGTTTTACCACCTTTGAGTTGTCAAGGCCATAGTGACCTAGAACTTTTACCAACTGAAGTATTCTAAGACACATTTTCAAGTTTTGTAAGAACAAGCTTTTAGGCCTATTTACCTCTAATCTTCGTCCAAAACATAATATATCACTCGCTAGTAAAATTCAGCTAACGAGTTTGTTTCGATTTCCTTTTTTCAATTTATTAGTAGTAGTTAGTAGTAGTTAGTAGTAGTTTGTAGTTAGTAGTAGTTAGAAGTAGTTAGTAGTAGTTAGTAGTAGTAGTAGTAGTAGTAGTAGTAGTAGTAGTAGTAGTAGTAGTAGTAGTAGTAGTAGTAGTAGTAGTAGTAGTAGTAGTAGTAGTAGTAGTAGTAGTAGTATAAGTTAGTAGTAGTAGAAGTAGTTGTAGTGGTAGTGGTAGTGGTGGTGGTGGTGGTGGTGGTGGTGGTAATTGTAGAGGTAGTGGCAGTGGTAGTAGTAGAAGTGGTAGTGGTAGTGGTAGTGGTAGTTGTAGCAGTACCAGTAGCAGTAGCAGTAGCGGTAGCGGTAGCGGTAGTGGTAGTGGTAGTAGTAGTGGTAGTGGTAGTAAAAGTGGTGGTGGTGGTGGTTGTGGTAGTGGTAGTACTGGTAGTAGTAGTAGTAGTAGTAGTGGTGGCACTGGTGGTAGTACTGGTGGTAACGGTAGCAGCGGCAGCAGCAGCAGCAGCAGCAACAGTAGCAGCAGTAGCAGCAGTACTAGTAGTAGTAGCAGTAGCAGTAGCAGTAGTACTAGTAGTAGTAGTACTAGTAGTACTAGTGATACTAGAAGTAGTAGTAGTAGTAGCAGTAACAGTAGTACTAGTACTAGTAGGTAGTAGTAGTAGTAGTAGTAGTAGAAGTAGTAGTAGTAGTAGTAGTAGTGGTAGTGGTAGTGGTTATTGTAGTGGTAGTGGTAGTAGTAGTAGTAGTAGTAGTAGTAGTAGTAGTAGTAGTTAGTAGTAGTAGTAGCAGCAGTAGTATCAGCAGCAGCAGCAGCAGCAGCAGCAGCAACAGCAGCAGCAGTAGCAGTAGTAGTAAATATTATTATCATACACAAACTTTTTTAACTTGATACATTTTATTCCACGCATGCAAAAAACAATTTCAAAAGAAGTACATACCACATTCTTTCTTGAATTTTTCCCCAGCAAAGAAATAATATTCGTAAAGAAATAGTATCCCGTTTGAGCGTTACTTCGTTCCAGATTCGCATGTTTGCACTCAGCCTCATACCCTAAATAAGTTTTCTTCTCGCCGTCCGATTCATAAAGTAGTTTAAGTGGCATAGGATTACTGGTCACATTGTAATCCCTGTTTTTAGCGTCTCCATAAGATAAGGCCCATCCTGTTGAAGACTCATCCAAGCGTAAAACAGCTATAAATGATGGCTGAAAGAGTGAAAACATCTATTCATGGTTCATATCTTTTATCAAGAAATTCCTGGTAATACATGTCTACAGACAGCACTCAACACTGTATCAGAGAAAGCCGCGGTTAATTTGTAATGATCTGATTTAATCTATATTATCATAAAACCAAATTTTCAGTGTAGTACCTTTTGTTTGAGGTTTGTTTTTCGGCAGTTTTATTGTGAGTCTCTCCGTGAGTAAAAATGTATATTTTAAGATTGAAGTTGTACTTAATTCCAACTACTAGTTTTCAAGTTATGCACTGGACAAAAAAAGGAACAAAGGGAAACTGTAATTTGTCCCAATAGAGTTATGATTCTTGTGCACTGCACTTTATCTCACTGCCCTTGACCATTGTATGAAGTTTCATTTAATTCCAACTATTAATTTTCAAGTTATGCACTGGACAATTAAAAGTAGCAAGGGGCAAAAACTCTTAAATGAGTCAAGAAAGAGTTATGGTTCTTGTACACAGCGCTTCCTCTCAATATACTTGACCATTGTATGAAATTGTATTGAATTCCAACAAGTAGTTTTCAAGTTATGCTCTGGACAAGAAAATAGCAATGGAAAAGTAACAAAGGGCAATAACTCTATAATTACTTTGGACAGAGTTATGATTCTTGTGCATTGCACTTCCTCTCATAGTGCTTGACCATTGTATGAAGTTGTTTTTAATTCCAACAAGTACTTTTCAAGTTATGCTCTGGACAAGGAAAAGTATCAAAGGACAATAACTCTGTAATTAGTCAAGATAGAGTTATAGTTATTGTGCACTGCACTTCCTCTTAATGTGCTTGTGGACTGTATGAAAGTGTATTTAATTCCAACAGGTAGTTTTCAAGTTATGCTCCGGACAAGGAAAAGTAACAAAGGGCAATAACACTGTTATTAGTCAAGATGGAGTTATGGTTCTTGTTCTCAATGTGCTTGATCATTATATGAAGTTGTATTGAATTCCAACAATCAGTCTTCAATTATGCTCCGGACAAAAAAGTAATGGAAAAGTAACATAGGGCAATAACTCTGAAATTAATTTAGATAGAGTTATGGTTCTTGTGCAATGCACTTCCTCTTATTGTGCTTGACCATTGTATGAAGTTGTTTTGGATTCCAACCAGTAGTTTTCAAGTTATGCTCCGGACAATGAAAAGTGACAAAGGGCAATAACTCTGTAATTAGTCTATACGGAGTTATGGTTCTTGTACACTGCACTTTCTCTCAATGTGCTTGACCATTGTATGAAGTTATATTGAATTCCAACCATTAGTCTTCAAGTTATGGTCCGGACAAAAGAAAGTTATGGAAAAAACACAGGGGAATAACTCTGTAATTACTTTCGATAGAGTTATTGTTCTTGTTCACTGCACTTCCCCTTATTGTGCTTGACCATTGCATGAAGTTGTTTTGAATTCAAACCAGTAATTTTCAAGTTATGCTCCGGACAAGGAAAAGTAACAAAGGGCAATTACTCTGTAATTAGTCAAGATAGAGTTATTGTTCTTGTACACTGCACTTTCTCTCTATGTGCTTGATCATTGTATGAAGTTGTATTGAATTCAAAACATTAGTCTTCAAGTCATGCTACGGACAAGGAAAATGCAACGGACCGCTGGACCGACCGACCGACCGACCACCGAGTGACTCCTATATACCCCCCCCCAAACTTCGTTTCGGGGGTATAATAAAGGCTGTATGGGCAAAAGGGAAAACATCTATTTTCAGCACTATTGACCTTTGCCAACTGACCCTTTACTCCATCCATCCAAAGGAGAAGACCTCCTATCAAATGTAAATGACATCTGTCAATAGAATAAGATTAAAACACATGTAAAAAACTATTTTTGACATTGCTGACCTTTCCATTGGTGACCTTGACCTAAATGACCCCTTATTACACCCAGATAAGGAGGACCTCCTTGGCATGCCTGTATTAATATGAAAGACATGAACTTAAAATAAAGGTTCTATTTATTTTGTACACCAATTACTTTGACCTTGGCCCTAGAGACCCTTTAGTCCGCATAAAATTAGAGGACCAACCTACCAAATATGAAAGGTACCATTAAATAAATTAAGCAATAAGGAGAAAATTAAGATAAATCCAACTTGCCAGAAAAGGTTAACCAGACAAGGCCCTATTTTTAAAGTAAAAAGGGGAAATAACTGGGAAAATGGATGGACAGTTATATAACTTGGCAATATCATGCACTTTGTATTGATAATAAAGTGTGAAAATTATGAAAATAATGTTGTGCTGCACTATCTTCAATCTTTAATCTTTGATTAGATATTTTGGGAGACTTGTTACAGCCGCAAAACGGCACAAATAACACTGATGTGACCATAAAATAGAGTAAAACAGAATTCCTAAAGAAAGCCCAACACGGCAAAATTGAAAATGTTGCAGGCTCGCTTAGACTGAGCCTATTCATGGATTGTAGTGGTAACTGCAAGCTACTGTCAACGCCCACTAGCACTGGCTTAAGCAGAAGCAACATTTAACACGAACTGCTAAAATTTTGAACTTTTGAACATAGAAACATCCGCAGATATGTTAATTTGGCGGTTATCATGGAACCTTCAATGTGACACATAAGTGCCATTCCATGAAAAGCGGCATATGGTCCCCAAGTAAAAACATAAATAAATGAGAAAGCAATGGGCAAAACAGATAGAATGGAATTTTGACAGTGGATTATGAAGTCAGCATGTCACAGATAAGCTGTTAAAGACAAAATAAAAAAAAACAGGCAACGTATACTAAGGGTGATTAAAGTTATGAAAGTTATAGTTATAAAACTTGCCAAATCATGTACTTTGTATTAATTTGTAATTGTTTAAACTATGAAGCCATTGGTACAGGTAGAACTTAAGAAAATTCCAACTTGTCGTTCTAGGTTAACCTCGCACGGAAAGACGGGTGGTCGGACGAGCAAACAAATGGGGTTTATGTGCTTTTTATTGATCTTTTTGTGGCACTTTTCCACATAAACCAGTACAATTACCATATAAATCAGAGCAAAACTGTTCTAAAACATAAGTTGCTAATTCCGATGGACCCGTCGTTTAAATAAATGGCTGGGCAGTTACATGTATCTTTTTAAGAGCAATGTACTCTCAAGTAGAAATAAAATATAAGCGTTATAATTTTTGGTCTAATAAGAAGAATAAATATGGTCAAATTTAAATATATATTAAATGTTGTTTGTTATACAAAATAAAGATAATCCCCTTGAATAGATTCTTATTAGGTATACATGAAAATACTGAAGTACTATACTTATAATCATTGGGTGAGAAAATATTTTGTACTGACAACATGATACTTTAGGAAGTATATAAACGATATAATTGTGTATACCTAATAAGAATCTACTCAAGGGGGATGTCTTTATTCTGTATAACAAACAACATTTAATATACATTCAAATTTGACCAAACATTCATCCATATTTATTCTTCTTATTAGACCAAAAATTATACCGCTTATATTTTATTCAAATTTGACATAATGATTACAGGTTTTTATATAAATTTACCAGTATAAACATTCTATTTTATTTTCTATAAAAGCAATCATTATCTATAACTTTAATCAACACGAATCAATATTCCTAAATAACCCCCTTTGTCATTATTATGACCATGTACGTACTTCCGGTCGATTCGTAGTGAGAGCATGGTTTTAAATGGCTCTGAAATTTTTCATTTAAAAGGTATTTTACTTTGGATAATATTGGATAATTTTGGATAAGATATGGATTAAAATACTTGTGATATATTACATCAATGTCGGACACGCAAAACACGCCAAATGTAAATGTAAAGACTAAAAAAAAAGAAGAAAAAAACGGCAAGCCACGTCGCCATTATTAGAGGAGTGCACGAAATTCACGAGCACGGAGCACGCTAAAGTTTTACAAACTACAAAGAAAACGAAACGAAATAAAAATGTAAACAAGTGAATGAACAATCAATAGAAAATACAAATACACAGGAATACTTTGAAGACACGATCATGACCACAAATGAAAACAATAGATGAAATTAATCAAACAGTGAATAAAATAAACTTAAAAGTGTCAGACCTGGAAACCAAATTTAAAACACTGGACAAAAGAGTCTTAAAAACAGAACTAGCAAAGGTGTGTGAGCTATCGTTTACACACGCGCAACAACTTAAGGGGAGTGATATGTAAATAGGAGCACAGCTACCATTTGAAGTACGCGAAGCTAGGAACCATCTATATCCCGCCATTAGAACAGCAAAGACCAAGGTAAACATGTTAAATATAGGAAAAAAGCATTTTATTGTTTCTTGGATTATCTAAACAACTATGATATTGTGTTTTTTTTTTCTTTCAATGAAACATGGATTAAAAATACTGACGACAGTAACTTAAACATTCGTGGATATGTATGTGATCATACCTATGGAAATAAAACATTATTTAGGAAAAGAGGACGCGCAAGTGAAGGCATATCGGTATATTTTAAAAATGAAATTAAGAACTATATAAAGATTTTTGAAAAGAACCAAGATGGTATTGTCTGGGTAAAAATTTCTCCTGAGCTTATTGATTTTAAGCAGGATGTATTTATTTGTCATTCATATGTACCCCCAATAAACTTGAATGTTATAAAAGATTTTGATCACTTTGAGCAGTTAGAATTAGATTTTATTAAGTATACATGTTAAAGGAAACAGTACTATTACTAGGGCGATATTAACAGTAATAATCGTGTCTAACGGTTTTAATAGATTGCTTTAGAGTTTCCATTAAATACTTTAGATGATTGAGTACTATTGTAATATAATCAAAATCAGATCTCAGCTAGAGTAAATTTAGATCACGTGATTTGATCATTTTGTGGCGACCACTAACTCTATTTCTAAGCCAAATATTTCTTCACAGCGGTTTACCCTTAAAAAGCGTATGGCCGTCTGCTGTCCGAGGCCAATAGGTGGTGATGTT